GCAGGCAGGGCAGGGGGTGTGTCAGGGGCTGGCTGCAGGGCTGGGGGTGCGGAGCTGGCTGGAGACAGGGGCTGGCTGCAGGCAGGGCAGGGGGTGTGTCAGGGGCTGGCTGCAGGGCTGGGGGTGCGGAGCTGGCTGGAGACAGGGGCTGGCTGCAGGCAGGGCAGGGGGTGTGGGGCTGGCTGGAGGCAGGGCAGCGGGTGTGGGCATAGGCGCCAACTCCGTAGGTGCTCCAGGGCTGGAGCACCCGCCGGGAAAAATTGGTGGGTGCAGAGCACCCACCGGCAGCTCCCTGCTGCACCCCCCCACCCCAGCTTGCCTCCGCCTCCTCCCCTGAGTCAGCGCCTATGGGTGGAGCTGGCTGGCAGGGGGTGCGGCAGGGGCTGGAGACAGGGGCTGGCTGTGGGCAGGGTGGTGGGTACTCCTGGGGAGAGCGGCTTGGAGCAGCCGGAGCCGAGCAGGAGGACTCAGCCCAGGCCAGCAGAGGAGCCGGGGACCCGCCGGGCAGCAGCACAGCAATAGGGCCCGTGCCCAGAGCCAGGCGGCGCCCGCATGGCTCCCACTCCCACAGCGCCACGCCCCCAGCCAGGGTGGGGCCGGAAGAGAAATGACATCGCTTCCTGGCTGGCCGGAGCCCATCAAAGCGGCAGCGCCCCCTCCCACAGTGCGGGGGAAGCAGGTTACACGTTTAGCCGGGGCCGGGCGAGCATCCCAGACACGCAGCAACTCTAGGCTTACCGTGCCTCCCTATTTTCCCGGACATGTTTGGCTTTTTGGAAATGCCTCCCGGACGGCGACTTGAGAACCAAAAAGCCGGACATGTCCAGGAGAATACGGACCTACGGTAACCCTAGCAGTCTGGTTTGGGTGATTGTTACTAAACAAAGGTTATGTAGGATATGACCGTGTAACGCTCTTTCACTGGTAAAAGATCCTGCACACCTTCAGAAGCAGTATACACCCAGAGCCCTGTGTATTGGGAAAGGGTGTGGGTACTTAAATTGACCAGGTTAGTTACACCCTGAACCCTACGGATTGGGTCCGGGTAGGTGCTTTTCGCCTGGAGCCCTACGGATTGGGAAAAGGTGGGGTGAACTAATCTGTGCAGGTAACATCCCACGCCCAGCCGCACACTTGCGATGGGGGGGGGCTCTGCATTGATGGGACACTCAGAACCAGGCTCTGCCCTGAGTCCTGGGCCCAGCAGAGGGGACGCCCAGCCGGGGAGCAGGGACAGAGTCACTGGGAGGGTCCCAGCCGGGGGGAGCAGCCTTCCACCCTGCACATGGTCTGACGCTGCCCTGGTCACCGCGGTGTCGGGCGCCTGCCAGTCGAGCATTAAGCGACGTGGCCCCGTCTGTCATGGGCAGGTCGTTCTCTCTCGTCTTTTCCCCTGGGGAGGTCTGTGCCCACTGCAGAGGGTCTGGTCTGGGGTGGTTTGGGGGGTCAATGGCCACGCTGCCCCGGGTCAATAACGGAGTAGGCCGGCCAGGGGAGGGCGCCTGGGCTTGGAGCCGGAGGTGGAGAGGTTTGGGGGGCTCTTGGCTGCTGGGGGAGCTCGTTCTGCAGCCTGGACCCAGACCCAGACCCGGAGGAAGTTCTGTCCCCTGCCCAGACGAACTTGACCCTGATTGTGGCCGGGCCGGAGGCCGAGAGCCGACACCCCAGAGCTGTGGGCTGTTGCAAGACACACTTCCCCTTTTCACAGATTTTTCGGCTGCTGCTTTAGCAACTTTGGATCTAAATTTATCTCTCCCCCTTCCCATTACGGGTGCCAGAAACCACAACCCCTCCACCCCTCTGTCCCATCTCTGTCTCACACCACTGTGCTAAGAATAGCATCTGCAGCGACGCTACCTGAGAAGGAGGTTGTCTAGGCCCCTCCACCCTCATGCTCCAGGGCGGGTGCTTTTCCCAGCCAGGTCAGGAAGGTATCTCTGCCCTGCTGCAGGAGGTGATGAGGGGAGTAGGGGGGGACCAGGCAGCTGCAGGAGGGGACATGCTTTGCTGGGTGTGGCAGGGAGCTGGCTTTGCTCTGACCGCAATAGATTTGGGCTGGAGATTGCAGAAAAACCATCTGATGGGAAGAAAGGGGCCGAGCGCATCACGGGCTTCCTGGGGCTGCAGCCCCCGGCACAGTTCCTCATTCCGCTCGCACTCGGGCCTCAGACTCGGTGGAGCTCAGCACCAGGGCGTTGGTGGCAGCGCTGAGGGGTCCCCACTTGCCCATCATGGCGTCTGCTCTCACCATCCTCCTCCTCGGTGAGTACCAGAGACAGCCAGGGCGCATGCCCAGGATCTGAGACCAGGGCGTGTGCCCGTGTGTGTGTGTGTGTGTGACACTAGAGCAGAGGTGGGCAAACTATGAATGGGGGTAGGGGTCCCGGGGGGCAGTCAGGAAGGAGCAGGAGTTGGATGGGGTGGCGGGGGGGCAGTCAGGGGCAGGAGTTCTGGGGGCTGTCAGGAGACAGGGAACGGGGGGGGAGTTGGATGGGGCAGGAGTCCCGGGGGGGTCGCCAGGGGGTGAGAAGCAGGAGGGGTCAGATAGGGGGCAGGGCCAGGCCATACCTGGCTGTTTTGGGAGGCACAGCCTCCGCTAATCGGCCCACCATACAATTTTGGAAACCTGATGCAGTCCTCACCACAAAAAGTTTGCCCACCCCTGGACCAGGGCGTGTGCCCATGGGGGGGATCTGAGACCAGGGCGTGTGCCCATGGGGGGATCTGAGGCCAGCGTGTGGGATCCAGTGGCTCTGGGATCTGGTCCCTAACCTGCCGTCTCCTCTCCAGGCTGCTGGCTGGCCAGGCAGAGTGGGGTGTCAGGAGGTGAGTATCCATGGGGTGGGATATGGGGGAACGTTACCATTAAGGATGGTGGGGAAGGGACAGGGAACAGAGAGCCAAACCCTGAACCGTTACCCCAACCTCACACTGACCCCCTCAACCGCTGTTCCCAGGTCAAAGGGAGTCCCACATCCTGCCGTGCAGGACCCAAAATATGCCCCCCCCCCCCACCAGACCCAGCCAGGCCTAAAAAAACGTCCCATCAAACCACTGCCTGCTCCTCTTCTAGAGAGTGGGAATCTAGAGTGCCCGGACTGACTGCAAGAGAAGATCCGAATCCAGCCCTGCCCCCAGGGGTGACTCCAGATTGGCACCGGTGGGGGCGGGGTGGAGCTGAGATCAAAACCCAGCCCTGCTTCCTGTGTAGTCAGGGGTGACTCCGGATTGACCCCGGGGGGGCTGAGATCAGAGCCTGACAGGCGGGTGTTGTTCACAGAGGCGGTGGATCTGACAGGCCCTGCTCACCCTGCTGTGCATTTCTAGGGTTACCATATGTCTGGATTTTCCCGGACATGTCCGGCTTTTTGGTCCTCAAATCCCCGTCCGGGGGGAATTGCCAAAGAGCCGAACATGTCCGGGAAAATGCTTTGCCGGCATCCCTGTCCCCTGCTTACCTTAGAGCGGCAGCGGCTGCTGCTGCTCTCCCCAGACACCTCAGCTCTGGGCAGCTGAAGAGCCGAGCTGCCCGAGCGCTACCGGCTTCACGGTTTGCCGGGCAGCCTCCAGACCTCCAGACCCTGCGCCCCCGGCCGGGCGCTTCCCTTTCCCGGGCTCCGGCTGCCTGGGGAAGCACCCGGCCGGGGATGCAGGGTCTGGAGGTCTGGGGGCTGCCCGGCAAACCGTGAAGCCGGTAGCGCTCGGGCAGCTGTTTTGCGTGGCTGGGAGGGAGGAGGAGGGGGAATGCGGGGCGCTCAGAGGAGGGGGCGGAGTTGGGGCGGGGACTTTGGGGAAGGGGTTGGAATGGGGGCGGAGTTGGGGAGGGTCCGGGGAAGGGGCGGGGCTGGGGCCCCGTGGAGGGTCCTCTTTTTAAAATGTTTTAATATGGTAACCCTAGTATATCCAGGGGCTGTGAGGACAGGGCAGTTTCTGGACACCTCGGGAATGGGTGGGGGCAGGACAGATAGACAGACACCAATGGGGCAGGGGCTGGCCCCCACCCCACTGAACTCCTGGTTCTTTTTTTAATCCAGAGAGAAATTTTCCCAAGCCCTCCCTGTCTGTGAGCCCCCGGGGGGTGACTGAGCCGGGGGAAAACGTCACCTTCCGGTGTGTGGGGGAACAGCCAGGCATGAGGTTTGTTCTGAGTAAAAACGGAGCCTATAAAAAGATTCAGGACCCTTCTGGGAGTGAGGCCGTATTTCCCATCCCCAGCGTGGGACCGGACGACAGCGGAATCTACACCTGCCAGTATCACACCAAATCACAAACAGCTGACTGGTCAGAGCCCAGCGACCCCGTGGAGCTGGTGGTACCAGGTGAGGGGGCGACCTCCCTCCAGCCCCACACCGAGCCGGACCTTTGGGGGGGTCTCCGCCATGCTCAGAACCAGGGCCCAGCCATGGAGCAGGGAGTGAGTCACTGGGGGTTTCAGCCCCCCGACCCTGAGCACCGGAAATGATGCCCAGGCTGGATCAGACAGCACCCCCTACTGAGCCCCCCGCCCTGCAGCCCGCTGCCCCCTTGTGCTATAAATCCCCCAAATCTTGCTGGCTCTGACCCCACTTGATTCCCCTGGGCCCCCCGACATCCTCCCCATAAAATTTTCTGCTGCCTCCGCCCTGTGGTGTCCCAGCCCCTTGGGCGCCGCCTGGGGTGGGAGGGGCTGGGGGGAACAGACCAGCCGCTCCCGGCACTCACAGCTGCTGCTGTTTCCCAGGTGGATCGGAATCGCCGGCACCTCCGGGTCTGACCAGCCCCATCATCGCCGGGGTGAGCGCGGCAGCCGCCGTCCTCCTCATCCTCCTTGTGGCCTTCGTCTGCTTCAGAATAACCCGAGCCAGTAAGTGCCCCGCCCAGCGAGGGAAGGGTTAAACCTGCTGCTAAGCAGGGCAGGATGGGGTCACGGCTTGGATGGGGGACTGTGCCGGGAAAGCCAAGGAGTGGGGGGGCTCAGCAGAGGGAGCTGCTGCATGTGTAATCCCTGTATACACAGCGGTGCCACCCCAGAGGTGGCCGCGTCTCAGTGCCTGGCTAAGGGTCCCTGTATAATCAGCCGCCGGCACTGTGCTTCTCAGGTACCTGGGGTGACAGAGGAGCCGACTGGCCTGGATCAGTTTCGTTATAACGAATCACTAACGAGGGAGGATTGGGGACAGGAAAAGCCCCCACCGAGTTAATCTGCCCCTCCCCCTGATCCATGCTATGGTGTTCCGCTGCCCCCTGCTGGTCCATCCCAGCAGGGATCCAGGTTCAGCAGCAGAGGGGAGCCCCCCAGGCACCCCCATCCCTGCTGGCCTGTGGGGGGTGAGTGGCCGGGCGCTGGGACCGGGGGATCCTGATTGGCTCATGGGAGATTCTGGTTTGTGTCCCTCTGCAGGAAAAGGAGCCGCACTGAGACCGAGCAGGTAGGAACCCCACTTCTCCCCCCTCCCGATCGACCTGCTGGAGTCACAGGGCTCCTGGTTTCTCTCCCAGCTCAGGGAGGGGAGGGGAGTCTAGTGGTTAGAGCTGGGGAGTGGGGGTGGTCTGGTGGTTGGGGCAAGGGGGGCTCAGGAAACTGGGTTCAGGGTGAGGCAGGATGGGGGACTCTCTGGGTGTGTTGGGGAATCTCCCCACAGGTGGGGGGATATGACATTTACAAGGGGATTTTCTCTTTTAGCACCAGCCCTATGGGGGCATTAAAGGCACTGGCTCAGCAAGACCCCGTCTGTGAGTAACTCACCCAAGTGGGAATCAGGGTGGGGCAGGACCCCAGGGGAGGGAGGGGCTGGTGGGGGCTCCACCCATAAGGGGCAGGGTCTGATTTACAGCTGCTGCTGGGCAGGGCTAAGGAGACCGTCCCAGAGGTAGCCGGTGTCGGCTGAGAGTGTTGGACTCCCAGGAGCTCCCTGGGGCCACCCTCCCTTCCCACTCTAGTTCCCCACCCACTCCTGGCTCCCAGCCCCCTGCTCTAACCACTAGTCTAGACCCCACTCCTCTCCCGAGCCAGGGCGAGAACACAGGCTTTCGGACTCCCAGCCCCCTGCCCCCACTGTAACAGACCTCTCTGTGCCTCAGTTTTCCTCTCTGTAACATGGGGCTAATGACCCTGGCCCATGCTGCAGGGTGTGGGAGGGGTGGCTGTGCTGGTCTCTGAGCCCCCTGGCTGGACAGAGGGGTCGGAGCTGGGTGTGGGGTTTTGCTCTGGGCCAGCCGGGGGTGCAGCTCAGCGGGTGTCTCTGTTCTGCAGATGCCTCCATTGATGAATGGAAAGAGACGCAGAACCTGGTAAGTGTCCCCTGTTCTCCCATGGGGCCTGACCCCCAATCCTGACCCACATGGGCTCCAGCAGCCCCCTCACCCCCCCATCCTTTCCTGGCACACTCACTGGTTTGAGGTGGCACTAACATAGCTGGGGGGGAGCAGGGGAAGCGGCCGCTCCCACACTGAGCACATATCCAAAAGTGGCGCTGACTCATGGGTGCTCCAAAATTCAGTAGGTGGGTGCAGAGCACCCAACGGCAGCACCCCACCCCATCCCCCATCCCCCATCCCCAGCTCACCTCTGCTCCGCCTCCTCCCCTGAACGCGCTGCCCTGCTCTGCTTCTCCGCCCCCCCCCCACTTCCCCCGAATCAGCTGTTCGCGCGGGAAGCCTGGGAGGGCAAAGAAGCAAGCGGCGGCGCGCTCAGGCCCAGGGAGGTGGAGGTGGAGCAGAGGTGAGCTGGGGCAGAGAGCGCAGCGCTGGCTCTAACTTCTTTGCCACTGCCCCGAGCAAAAAAAAAAAGCGAGGGGGCGCGGCCGGAGGAGTGAGGTGCAAGGGGGGCGCGGTGCAGCCGGAGGAGCTAAGGGGGCGGCGCGGCATGGCCAGAGGAGCGAGGGGGGGCGCAGCATGGCCGCAGCGCTGCCGGAAGAGCCAAGGGGAGGCATGGCTGGAGGAGGAGCCAATGGGGGGCGTGGCCAGAGGAGGAGCCAAGGGGGGGCACCTTTTTTACATGTTTGCTCCCCCTGCTCTTAGAACCTGGCTACGCCACTATGTGGGGGGTGGGCTGCTGGGAGGGGAGTGGGCTGCTGGGATCACCGTGTGTGTGTGTGTGTGTGTGTGTGTGTGTAGGT